GACTTTAAATCGACGAGAAAAGAGTCATTTTATGGTATCTATATATACTTGTGTTTTCTGTAGGATCATAACTGGCCTGTTCATAGACTTACCTTTATTCATTTTATGCACTTCTGCAGATCTTCAACTTGATGTCAAAGGTTGTCGCGATGTTTATGCCTCTTTTGACAAGTATGTAGAAGTTGAACGTCTAGAAGGCGATAACAAGTACCATGCNTTCTAATAATTGCTTTGGTCAGGGCACGGTTGTGGAAGGGACAATTCAGAAGTTATTTGAGGGCCACCACATGAATTACATCGAATGTATTAATGTGGACTTTAAATCGACGAGAAAAGAGTCATTTTATGGTATCTATATATACTTGTGTTTTCTGTAGGATCATAACTGGCCTGTTCATAGACTTACCTTTATTCATTTTATGCACTTCTGCAGATCTTCAACTTGATGTCAAAGGTTGTCGCGATGTTTATGCCTCTTTTGACAAGTATGTAGAAGTTGAACGTCTAGAAGGCGATAACAAGTACCATGCTGAAGAACATGGTTTGCAGGTCTTGTACTCCTTACTATTAGCATTTAATTGACGGCTTTATTTGGTGGGGATGTCCCTAGCTTTAATCTTAAGTATGGTGACCATTTATTTTCTCCAGAAATACGGTATTGTAAAGTAGAAGCTTAAGGTGGTGGTTGGATACTTCAATCCAAAACCCCTGAACTTGAGCTCGTGATTTATTAACAGCTCTCGATAACCTTACACGTGATATCTTTGTGAGAAAGCAATAAAACTTTCAATCTGCTGGACTGGATAGGCATAAAATTTTGGAGCCTGATTCCTCCTTTCTTTTTCCTTTCAGTCTTTTGGGGATGGTGGGGGTGCGGTTGTACGGGGTATCACATGTAACCGAAGATTGCAAAATGCATGGGGAATAATATGTTTAGTCTAAGGGGAGACATCTTATTTGAGGGGACTGAGGCGGAGGCTAAGGTTGGGTCTAAAATGCAATTGTGAAAGATATCGCCAGTACGAGAAGGATTAGGGTGCCGATGTGTTGAACCTCTAAGAGCTTTCTGCAATTCATTCATAAGAAATTCAGAGACTAAGATAGAGTGTAGCAAAGGACTTCTTTAAGCCAGAAACTGTGTCGTATTTGTTGGCTTGTTTCTGTTACAAAAGGGGATTCTTGTTTTTATTTCAGGATGCTAAGAAGGGTGTACTGTTTATTGACTTTCCTCCAGTTCTCCAGCTTCAGTTAAAGCGGTTTGAATATGATTTCATGCGAGATACAATGGTTAAGGTTAGTACTTGCAAGTTTGTTGGCGTCTGATTCCTATTCTTTCTAGATGACTTTATACTTTTTACTTTTTTCTATTGCCAGTTTGGTTAGGCTCATGCTGGTTTCGTGTTTTCCCTACTGGGAATGGTGTCATTTCTTATTTTTTGCTTCAAGCATTTATAGTATGCTTTTTCAGGGACCGCACTTGGCTTGCTAATGAGAAAATGTAGAAAGAGAAAGCATTAAAAAATCAGAAATTACAAAGTAAGAAAATCAAGGTGGACAAGCGTCAGTCACAAAGGGTTTTTCTTGGGTTCATTATCTGTCAAAAGTCCAGAACCACAGTATTTACTTATTCAATGTGATGTTTCCCTTCTCCCATATGTGAGGTCCTGTATTTGGAGGTCGGGGGGGGGGGGGGTTTCGATGATAGAGTTTCTTATTTTTAGGACTACAGTTGGCTAATGTGGGTACTGTTCTGTCTATGTTCATAAATCTTTTCTACCAGTTAAAGAATATCACCGGAACTTTTACAATGACTATCTGTTATATGATGTCTTTCTAACTATCAAAAAATGTAATATGTAAGGTAATTTCACTATTACTCCTCCTTATATAATTTGTCGATTGACCCCTAATATTTCTTGTGATTGACTATTACCTTTATTAAGCAACAACCCAGATAACACCTCTTACTAGTATGCAACTAATAATTTTCCATTTCTGTTTGAACTTTGGAAACTGAGAACTTTAGTTTTCTCTGTTAAACATCATTCACTGTGAAATGTCCTATATTATGTGGATTCTTAATGTGCCTTGACATACCTGCGTTAAATGGCTGCAACAAAGTATGGATACTTCATTCATATCCTTCAAAATATATAAAACATGCTGAAAATTGATTTATCTATGTCAGATACTTGTCCTCACTCTTTCTACATTCATTCCCATACTGGAGTCCATGTAATGCAGGAAATATGTTGCGTCTGAAACGTTGCTTAAAAATTCCCCTAATATAAATGAAAGAGTATTTAGTCTTGTAATTATGGTGTCCAGGTTCTTTCTATGGCACCTCGATAATGTTTCCTTCTATGGCACACAGATAAATGACCGCTACGAATTTCCTCTGGAACTTGACCTTGATAGGGAGAATGGCAAATATTTATCTCCCGATGCAGACAGGAGTGTCCGAAACCTCTATACACTTCATAGGTAAACTTAGCTCTCTCTCTCCCTCTCTAAGTTTACTCTCTCCCCATTGCATGTAGACCCCAACAATGACTAACACGCGATGACAAATAAACACGTGTTCCCTTTGATTTTTTTACTTTTTGTGCATACCATAGTTGCTGCAAACATATCTGCAGTTTGATGTCTGAATTATTTGTACTTTAAACCAAATAGGTATCATCTAAACATGCTTGTGGCTATAAAGCATTCATTATTTTAATAAATTACTCTATCCCATCTTGGTTGACACTATTCAATGTCCCATGAAGTTTAATATAATGATTTGACTTGTCTAATAGTGGGAGAAATTATTAAAATGGATTAAATGTTGGTTTTATTTTTGATATCTATGGTGTCTGAGCCAACTTGCATGCACCTACTATGCTATCTCCCACTAGCACAAGTGCCGGCTGACTTTGCCCATCAAGGTTTAGGCAGAAAATCACTTGCACCCACTTCATTAATCACTCAAAGTTGTATGTAATTATACTATTAGCGAAATGGTGTCTAATGTTTTGGAACCTTTGGAAATGGAAATGTATCATATAAAATTGGATAAAGGGAGTATATGTTAATCTAGTAGTGTCTCAACCATACTGCTAGTTTTATGTTTTAGACATAACGATAAATGGTATCTCATTGTTCTGAGAGGTCGGATCTGCATTTGGTTTTGTATTATTTGGATTCGGTCTTCTTGGTTTTGAATTAATGTAATCTAGTCCAAATTGAACTGGTTTAGTTCTGTTTTTCTCTTTATGGTTCGGTTTCTTATATTTCTCTCTTTACAGTTTGGTTTTTCTGCTTTTTTTGGGATTTTGAAAGTACAACTTTTCTCTTTTTAAGTGCTATCATTATTAATGCTTATTTAGCTATGAGATTGAGTAAAATAATGTATATCGCAAATTTTGAGCATACCACATCGATGTACTGAATGGATTAGTAACTGCAAACTAGATGGGGTCATAAACTTATTGTAATTTAAATGCTTTCTGGAAAAAGAGAAAATTTCATGCAACAACAACAACAACAACCCAGTGTGGTTCCACAAGTGGGGTCTGGGGAGGGTAGGATGTACGCAGCCTTACCCTTACCCTGGAAGGGCAGAGAGACTATTTTCGATAGACCCTCGGCTAAAGAAGTTGAGAGAAACCCTGGTAGCAAGTAATAGCAAGACAATAATTAGAAAACTAAATCGAAGATAACAACAAATAATATGAAAGGGGTACTGATAACAAGTAGTAGCAAGAAAAAGAGAAAATTTCATGAAACAACAAAATGTGGATTGTCTTAAGGAGTTTTTTGATGGAAGAGAGATACTTAAACAAATATTTTATCAAGCAAACTAATAAAATTTTATCTTATATTTTGAAAACCGCCCTTTTTAATTTTCACTATGACCAAGAAACATAGGAAAATAAAACCATCAGGAAATCACTATGACCAAAAAATATTGGAAAATGAAACCACCATCCAGATGCTTAACTCACTTACATATTTCACACTATCAAAAATGACAAACTATAGCAAACAAATAAAGAAAGATAGAATCTTAGTACTCAATACAAAATTACAAATAAACTAAGTAAGTATTATTTGAATATACATTTACATTAGTTTTTCTCTAAGTTCCATACTTCCGAAGCCAACCATTAAGTAGCTCACAATTGCGGAAGTAAGGAAATGAGAAAAACAAAAAAAGATTGGAACTCTGAAAAAAATTGTTCAGGTTTAAGCAAATTTATTAATCCTAACTCTGTAAGCATAAGATATTTAAATTCGATAGTTAGATAGTAGGTAAGTACTCTGTTTTTTTTCAGTTTTTATTTCGAGAAATCCGAGGCTATATGGAAAACCAAAAATCTTAAATTTATTAATCCAAACCACACCCGAAAACCATAATTTTCTATTTGGTCTGGTTTGCCGGTTTAATCCAAATTAGTACACACTCCTGTTGAGAGATTTGGCTAACTCGTTAATAGATTGTTTATCACAATTTTGTTTAATGGATGTGGATGCTATACATATTCTGATGTTTTAGACATAATCTGTTGTTAGATGCCAGGTACTCAAAATGTTGTTGTTTTCTCTTTAATGAAATGAGATAAACTACAGTTTCAAGCCACTATATTTTGTGCTTATGGACTTACCTAGATGAATCCGACCTTGGTTAGTATATGATAATGTTATGGTGACATTAGTTTTATCTTTAGGCTAACTGCATTTTCTGGCTCTTTTCTCTTTCTCAGTGTTTTGGTTCATAGTGGTGGGGTGCATGGTGGACATTATTATGCTTTCATCAGGCCAACGTTATCAGACCAATGGTATGCTTTCCTTCGTCTCTGTTTATATTTCTTTTAATCCCCCACTTAGACTCGCTGACAGGCACATAACCCCGTGACACGACTTTGCTCATGCATTCAGAAATCATTGATGTATGTAATATTATATACTATAAGAATGTTGAGCTCTAGGAGAATCCAAAAATACCTTCATCACCTCTATTTCTAAGATTCTGTTGTTGTAACAGCTCACTTTCATCTAGTTTAGTATGATTACAAGACACACCTCCTCTCCTGTTTATAGAAACTCAAACTGACAGCCATTTTACTAAAAAGGACCATTGAGGTTGCTAGAATATCTGAACGACAATTATATCCTTCCTTGATTACTTGTATTTGTTTTCTCCTTCTTCTGTAGTGCAACCTTCACTTTTTTCTTCCAAATTCCTAACAAAATTGTATACTTAATCTCTTTTTTTGTATTTCTCTCGTTGAAGAGCAAACACTTTTTAGCACTTCTCTCGAGTCAGAAATAAATAATTTTGTATTCTGAACTCTATCTAAGGAAGACAGTCTGAAATTAGTTAAATTATACAGTCAATAGAGAAATATTTCTTTATCATGATGTCTTGCTTCTGTTAGCTGGGTGGAAAGGAATTTTGAGAATTTTAAATTGGTATTTGCAGCACGTGTTCCTGTATATTATTACTTAATAAGAATATAATTGGAAACTATTTTTAAAGATAAATTAGGATTTTACACGGAATAATAACAGATTAAAGTTAAGGCTAATGTTATACCAAGAAGAATGATACTGATCAAGTGGGAGAAGGGAAGTTTTGGCAATATGTCATTAATTTCAACTGAAATCATATTTTCTTGGTCGACCTTTTACCAAGAAACAAGTGTAGTGGAGGTCTTTATGATGGAAGTTTTAAAAAATGGATGTTTCCGTGAGATTTAAACGTAAGATTTTGGCGGCTTAATATTCATAAACTAGAGGAGAGGTAGCCGTAAGGTAAAAAAGAGCTGAGTTGGTTTGGGTGGGGTGATGAGAAGAGGGGCTGCATCTACATGTATAGCTTTGTTGTGGGGTCAGATATCATGAAGAGACTGTTACTAGGTAGTTCTTTTTTATATGTGAAAAGGCACGCTTTTGTGGGTAAGACAATTAAAGTCAATGCCATTTGAGTTTTCAGTAGACCGCTATATTTAGCCAATGCTGGTAAACTCTGTTCAATCTGATCTGTTGTTCTATGATAGGTACAAGTTTGATGATGAACGGGTGACAAAAGAAGACATGAAGAGGGCTTTAGAGGAACAGTATGGTGGTGAGGAGGAGGTATGTCTCAATGATTCTATAACTTTGTGTTTCTGTGTCCATACTTTCGTTTGGATTCACTTTTGCTTTTGTGCAACAGTTGCCACAGACAAATCCAGGTTTCAATAACGCTCCCTTTAAGTTTACAAAATACTCAAATGCTTACATGCTGGTTTACATACGTGAGAGCGACAAGGATAAAATAATATGTGATGTGGATGAGAAGGACATTGCAGAACATCTGAGAGTAAGTTTTAAGGCTTGCCTGGTCTAGAAATATATTGTCTACACCGTTTACTCGGTTTACATATAAATAAATGCCTTTTTGATCATCTTAGATAAGGTTAAAGAAAGAACAAGAAGAGAAAGAGGACAAGAGAAGATACAAAGCGCAGGCCCACCTTTATACAATTATCAAGGTCATTTTGAAAAGTTAAATTTCTCATTAAAAATTGATCTGTCTCCTACAAAATGTTGTGTTGAATCCACTCGTGTTTGTAGGTTGCACGCGATGAAGATCTTAAGGAACAGATTGGAAGGGAGATATATTTTGATCTTGTGGATCATGACAAAGTTCATAGCTTTCGGATTCAGAAACAGATGCCTTTTAACCTTTTCAAGGTACTGATTACCTATGTTGCACGGACTTTCCAAAATGTAGCCGCACCCGTGTCGGATCCTTCAAAAATGCACTACTTTTGGAGGATCCGACACGTATCCGACCACATTTTCGGAGAGTTCGAGCAACATAGCTGATTACTTTCTGTTTGTCATTGCTAACTCAGGTGAGATGAAGCATTACATCCAGTGATTGACCTGGACCTCATCTATACCTTTTCTGCAAACTTAAATGAAACAAGGATATATTTTCTACCGTAACACCCCTGAGAGATTTGGTGGGAGGTGGGGGGGGGGGGGACTGAGAGATGAATGTATATGCATATATGGGGTAAACAGTCCGTGAATGAGAAAAAGAAACATTTACAAGAGGCAAAAATATCTGTGAATAGAGGATAGAAGGTTCCTAGAGGCAAAAGGAGTCGTAGTACACTTCTGAGTTTGTTTTAGTGGTTTGGCCGGTAGTTTCATATGAAGATTGTCCAGTGAAGGGATGCCTGTTCCCAGATATTGATGGAATGTTATGACTGAGGCCTGCTTGGGGTCTGTATCGTTTTCTCTAGACTAAGTAGATAGTGATGCAGCCTGCAGACACTGGGGCAGTTACACAACATGACAACAAACCCAGTATAATCACACATAGTGGAGTCTGGGGAGGGTAGTGTGTACGCAGTCTTACCCCTACCTTGTGGAGATAGAGAGGTGGTTTCCAATAGACCCTCGGCTCAGAGAAGCATAAGCACCACATTACTAAAGAGAAAAACAAGAAGAGCAACAACGAGAAGCCATGTCAAAGCATCATAAATAACAATCGGATAGTCAGATGACCGAAATGAAAGAAACCTGAATTAACAGGTGGTCATATAAATCTAATACCAACAGAATACGGAAGTACGTACTAATACAATCGGTATGACAGGGAGAACACTAAACTTACTACCCTGCTACCCAAATCCTCGACCTCCACACCTTCTTATCACGGGTCATGTCCTCGGTCAGCTGAACCTGCGGCAAGTCTTGCTTAATCACCTCTCCCATATTCTTTTTCGGCCTACCTCTACCTCTCCTTAGGCCCTCCAATGTCAACCTCTCACACCTCCTGACCGGAGCGTCTGTGCTCCGACTCCTCACATGTGCAAACCATCTAAGCCTCGATTCCCGCATTTTGTCCTCAATAGGGGTCACATCCACCTTGTCCCGAATAACTCATTTCTAATTCTATCTAACCTTGTATGCCCGCACATCCATCTCAACATCCTCATCTCTGCTACCTTTAGAAGAGCTCTGATCGTAAACACTCTTCTTTTGGACTCAAAAGCAAGAACTTTGCTGTTCTTATAGATCTAATTCATTGAAATTCCATCCAATAAAATGGAAGAATTATAAATCTCCAAAATAATAGATAGAAGTGCCCCAAATAAGGCCATTACGATATCACCCGCTATATCATTGACGCTGACGGGCTTCCTCGCATTATACCGTCGTTTCATTGAAAGATGATTCGACGTCGTGATGCAAAGGTTGACCGATTCTGCTTTATCTCTCATGGTTTTCGATATCGCGGGTAGTCCACTTATATCGTAAATATGGTTACCTTCGAGTCGATCTTTGAGAGATGTAGCTCCTTCCACGGACATGAGAGCTATTGACTAGCCAACACTTAGCCCCATACAACATAGTCGGCCTGATCACCACTCGGTAGAACGTACCTTTAAGTTTTGCTGCACCTTCTTATCACACAAAACACCGGAAGCAAGTCTCCGCAGTTACACAACATAAGAAGAAAAATAAGTTGCATTTACATATTACTTACCTTTTCACAAAAAGAAAAATAAGTTGCATAACAGAAGTGCCAAAGTAAGTTGATCAGAAATTTAAGCCTGTGAAGTCGAAACAAATATGATTTGCAGAGGTTGCCAGTTGTATAAACTATGCCAGAAGGGATGTAGAATGTAACAAAAGCCAAGGGGTGATACTTTTTTCTGAATGCCTTTTGACTCTAGGTTGTAGGCAGTTTTTTGTTCTTCTCCTCAATCTTTTTGGTTTCTTATTGGCGAACTATATGCTGTATCAAGAGCCTTGAGGTCATACCAACCTGTGATTTTTGTTGGTTTTCCTGTAACGGCATAGCATATCACATCATCCTTCATGATTTGTGAATTTTTTTGTTCTTCCAACTGACGAGAGATTTAAAGCGGTTGTAATGATAGAAGTATGAGAGTTGAAAATTTAGTTTCGGTAACTTGGAACATATGTTTCTATAAACCATTAGATTTCCATAAGCATAATTTGCTTAACCTAATTAATGAAGCTTGCATTCAATGAAGCATTTCTCTTCCTCCTAGTTGCTGCTGGCTTAGGAAAACTGTACTAATTTCTCCTTATGAACGCCTCACTCTTATTATGTTACTTTGGGCCATTTGTATTACTATTATATCTGTAAATATCTTATGTATGTTAACTTTTTGTTCCACTTCCCTTGAAATACGGATACCTAACCAAACTATTGGTTGTTGCAGGAGGAAGTTGCAAAGGAATTGGGTATACCTGTTCCATTTCAGCGTTTCTGGATTTGGGGAAAGCGGCAAAATCACACTTATCGGCCTAATCGTCCATTGAGTTCACAGGAGGAACTACAAACAGTAAGTTCTAGTTTTAATACCATGTTAAGACAATGGAGCCAGCATTTCTGATACCATGTTAATACAATGGAACTTGGATCTAAGTCAATCCCAAATGTTAGCTCATGAGGTAAGGGTTGTCCAACACCATATAAGAAGACAACAACTTCCCTCAACCAATATTTGACACTCTAACATGCTCAGTGGAAATGCTTGTGTGATTTGTCACTTGGTGTCAGTTGTATGTTAGTATCTGCTGGTGAGAGTATAAGAGATTCATTTGCTTGCCCCAATGTTAAATTGACTACCTCCGGCAAAGCAATAAATTTTTTGGTCCTTTTTTGAGTTGGTCTGTTGTAACGGAAATACATGTAATGATGTTGAATTGCCTTCTTGGTAAAGTATATTTAATTAAAACAGAGATCTCTAGCAACCTATTTTGAGTTATTTTAGAGTTTGCATTGATGTCGAAGCTTAAACTTTCCGTCGAAGTGCTTCAGGTTTTTTTGGTTGATAAGCTCGCTGTAAAGTTGCTTCATCTCGGAATTGACCTTGTGATTTGAGGGAAATAGATCTCGTGTAGGAAAAAACTTACTAAAGCTATTAGGGTTAGTTTAGAAAGTAAGGTTTAGAACAACTCCGGAGAGCTTATTCTGCTTCTTTTTAGTGATTTTTTTTTTTTTTTTGAAAAGGTAAAGTTTTATTAAATGAGTACCAAGATGGTAGCAGAAAGAAATACAAACTGCTGGGAATATCCATGCAGTTAATTATAGCATTTTCTTATTAACTCCATAAAGTCCATGTAATGATCAATACTATCTACCATACTACTATTACACCAAGGAAATAGATTATGCAAACACTTAATTTTTTCTAAAGATATGATATTTCATCAAAGCAAGTGCTATTTCACTCTAGCCAAATAGTCCAGAATATGCACAGAGGTATGGTTCTCCAAATCTGTTTAAGAGCTTTATGTGTCTTCTGATGCTGCCAACTATTCATAGGGCCTGACATCCAAGAAATCCCACATATATTGAAAAAAAGCTCCCAGCACTGTCTAGCATATCTACAATGCAAAAGAAGGTGATTAGTAGTCTCCCGTTCTTCTTCACACAAATAGCATCTGCTACAAAGAACAAAGCCCACTCTTCTGAAGATTATTTTGGGTAAGACAAGCTTCCCAAGCAGCAGTACAACCAAAACACGCAGCCTTTACAGGAGCTTTATTCCTTCACATCACTTTCCAAGGCCAATTAAGTTCTCAGTGACTTGCATTTTTCCTTAGCAAATTGTAACAGCTTTTGACCGAGAACTTTCTGTCATTACTAGCATTCCATATTAATGAATTCTTCTTACTAAGATCAATGTGGGTAGAACTCAACTGAAGGAGCAACTGACCGAAATTTTCTATCTCCCAATCATTCAATTCCTTCTGAAGTTTATCCGCCAGCCTGAATCTGAATAGAAATCAGCCACCACTCCATCCCTATTATTGCAGCAGTTAAATAAAACAGGAATTTATTTTTCAAACATTCCTCACCATTCCATAAATCAATCCAAAATCTAATCTTTCTTCCATTGCCCACCTTCAGGCTAGTAAACTACTTGAACTCCTCCCATAGTTTGCAAACTTCTTTCCAGATTCCCCCTCGTGTATACATGCTACTGAAAGGGGGATTCCATCCTTGTCGACTACTATAAATATATTCAATTATTTTAACCCAATCTGCTTCTTCATCCCTATGAAATCTCCACAACCACTTGAACATCGTACTTTTATTATGAAGTCTCAAGTTCCTGAC